CCCTCCTCCAGGTAGTCACCCTCTTGATCTCTTTCAAGGACAGCTCCCAGAGGAGGACCTCTGACTCAGATCTCAAGGGGCGGGAGGGCACATAGGGGAGAAGGCGCTCCTTCAGGTATCCCGGACCCAAGCCATTTAGGGCTTTATAGGTCATCACCAGCACCTTAAATTGGCCTTGGACTTCAGTCGGTAGTCAGTATAGACGATAGCGGACTGGTGTTATATGTGAACACCTGCCAGTTCCCGTTAATATCCTGGCAGCTCTGTTCTGAACCTAGTGAAGGATGCAGACCATCTTCAAGGGCAGCCCCATGTAGAGCACGTTACAATAATCCAGTCAGGAAGTTCCCATAGCATGGGTCACTGTTGCAAGGCATTGCTCTTCCAGGTAAGGGCACAGTTGGTAGACCAGCTGAAGCTGGAGAAAGGCACTCCTCGCATGCGCTGCCGCCTGGGATGATGATGATGATGATGATGATGATGATGATTAGAACATTTCTATGCCGCCCCTTGCCGAAGCCTCGGGGCGGCTTACAACACAATAAAATACAATACAATACAAAAATAATATAAAATTAAAATTAATAATATAAAATAAATAAAAAATAAAAATATATATAAACGATATAAAAGAAGTTATAAATTTATAAAAGAAAAGAAAAGAAGAAAAGGAAAGAAAAGAAGTCACCCTGGCCAGATGAATAAGTGAATATTGTTAACAATTAAAATGATGTTTAAATAAAAAGGTCTTCACCTGGCGCCGAAAAACAAATAACGACAGCTCCGGACGCTCCCTGCAGCTGCACAGGTGAGAGATGGGGTCTGTACACACTGCTGTAAAGGGGGTGAGGAATGCCATGCAAGAAAGGAAGGGGGTGTGGGGTGGGAAGGGGCACAAAGCCCTGAACGGACGGAGGAGAGGGACACAAGATGGGAAATGGGCAGAAGGGGTGTCATGCTGTGCATGGAAGGGGTAGGGAGTGTGATGCAGTGGTGGGAAGATAAAACGGGGTTGTGACACAATGACGTGAGGAACGATGTGAAGCAATGAGGGGAAGGAGAAGGAGGTGGGGGATCACAAGGCAGGAAGGGGTGGGGTGGGGATTGTATGTGCTCTCTCTCCTCAGGCAGCAAGAAGGCTTGTGCTGGAGCTGATCCATTGGTGGATTCTGGATAATTAGGTGCTCCAGTGTGCCTGAACACCTCAAGGCGTCCCCTCCATTTTGAAACCATAATCAGGAGCTGGGAGACCTGCAGGTAGCCTGTGCCCACAGTATTTTTTCCAAGCATCCATGATGACCAGCCAAGAAATGAGCCCCTTTGTGTTCTCTTTTTATGGAGCAAAGTTATTCTACCACCGTAGCTCTAGTTTCATTTTCTTCTTGATTCCCCTAAATTGGTCCATCCCCACCCTGCGGCCCAGCATTCTCACCACCACTTGACCTTTCTTGGTTGGCCAGCTTCCCCAAATCCTGCTGTGCCATTTCTGTAGGATCTCTTCCTCCTCATTTGCCAATCCATCCCCCATCCCTACTCCCTGCCTGCATCTACCCTTGCTAGGCCTACAGCTAGTATGCTGGTCCACGTATCTGGGCAGCCTCCTCCAACCTGCTGCAAATCAGCACAGCCAGTGGGAATCACAGTACAACACACCTGGAGAGCTCCAGGTCAGGGAATGTTATTCTAAGGGGTGCTAACCAAGCCCCCCTCCCTATTCATAATGTGGGTGCATGTGGTGAAAATAAAATCTGCATCCGTTGATTTGAAAGGTTCTTTGAGCTTTTTCTTCCGCACTTGGTTGAAAGCAGTCTACAAATCTGCTGTGTGCTTGTCATCCCCTGGAAAAGGTGGTTTCTTTCCCACATTCATCCTGACAGATGTACACATGTGAGTCCACGTAGGTGTGGGAACAGAAATGCACAGGAAAACATGATAACAGAAGCAAAAGAATTCCTTCATCAGAGAGATGCTCAGCTTCAGTTCTAGTACCCCCGCACACACAGTGACACACACACACACAGAGTCTCCCCCCACCATCTCATTCCATGCATAACTCAAGGCATAGGCATCATTCACATCGCTCTCTACCTGTCTCATCATGTCTCCAAGAGCAACGGCTCCCCCAAACCAAACAGAGGAGAGGCCCTGGCCACCACTGACATAGCCGTGAGGCAGTGCAGCTGTAGGAGCCGTGACAGCGATGGGAGCCTGTGTGCAGGGGAGAGGGAGAACTTGTCACGTGGCACAAAGAGGACTCTCATTTGCTCTGCACCCCATGCCTAGGTACCCGGCACTTTGGCGAGGGGCCTCAAAGACGCTGCTGACTTGACTGGCACAGCCGCTTCACCACTCAGCAACGGCGCCTGGCAGCATTCTACGGCCTGCTTTGGTGCCTGGCAGTCCATGCTGTACCAGCTGGCAGGTTGTAGGCAAGATCTGCCCTGTTGCCACAGCCGGCAGAGCAGGACAAGGCAGGGGTACTGCGGAAGCATCCTGCGTGCCACAGGCGGAGCTTGTTGGAGTCCATGTGCCATCCGGCCCAGTCATGTTCAAACAGCAGATTGCCACTCACAGACACGGGTTTGTCCTTGCGTGTTGGCAGAAATGCCCCTCGGGGGGCGAATTGGCTGTGCCCCCTCCTGCCTTTACAGCATCTCATCTCTGTTTCAGACAGTGAGTTTTATGTGATGCTGGAATGACCCGCTGGCTGGTGATGACGGATCCAGATATCATGGCCCCAAGAGCCCTTGGGATGACAGCAAAAGTAGGAAAAGCATAGCTAAAAGGTAGTGCGACGTTTTCAGAATTATTATTATTATTATTATTACATGTATTTATATCCTGCCTATTCCCAGTAATTGGGATTGAAGGTTGCTGTCACTCTGACATCTGCAGAAGGCACTTCTCATCTATTTTCAGCAAGTTTTCACAACAATCTGATAACAGGGTAGATCAGTCTTCCCCAACCTGGTGCTCTTCAGGTGTGTTGGGTAACAACTCCCATAATTCCCAGCCAGCAAAATATCCATGCTGTCTGGGAATTATGCGAATTGCAGTCCAACGCTCTTTAGATTCAGCTGGATAATTCTCTCAGAGCTTCACAGCCCTCATCTTCTCTGATAAATCAGGAAATTAGCAATATGAAATGTAAATGCTATCCATGTATTTTCTGCTAATGTGTGGCATGTTTCTTGAGTAATTACACAAGTGCTCATAGCAGAACAGGATGAAGCCAAATATCTTTCGGGTAACAGGAAGTTTGGCATGAATGTGGATCCTTCTCTAGTAGTAAAGGAACAAGGTACAGTTAGCTATTGTAGCAGCTAGCTGTCAATATACCAGGCTCCTGAAAACTGTTCTTTAGTTAACATCTAAGAAGCTTTTAAAGGTATATTTAATTAATATTAAATAGATATATTGTTGTGATTGCTGCTTATAGAGTCCAGTAGGACTATTGAAGTGGTCTATAATATAAATCAATCAAACAATCATATAAATCAATCAATCAAACATAGTAACAGAAGCAATACACAACAATTATTATTTTCTAACCTATGAAAAAAGAATACAGGTACAAACTCTTTTGAGAAAATGCTTGCGGTCTCACACATTACTAGCATCTGTTACACCAGATTTGCTTGACCTCCCATTAGCCATGCTGGTTGGGAATGATGGGAGTTGCAGTCCTGAACATTTGGAGGGCATGAGGTTAAAGGAAGACTTTTATAACATGCTGGCATCCACCCACAGAATATATCCACATGGGGCAAAAATGCACATTCCCATGAAATATATTCTTCCCTGAAACACAGAGAGACCCAGATGGGTACAGAACATTGTGAAATATGGTATATAGCATTTGAATATTTATGCAAGACTTTATTATGCTGTATAGCTGCAACTTTGTTTGATGCATCACAGACTTGTTATTTGGAAACAAGGGCAGATGCCCTGCAACCGCCTGTATTTCTGAAGGCATGATTATTAATCAGAAACACATTTATTTATTTATTAAGGGGGCATTTAAAAGGAAAATGAAGTGAGCACAAAAAATGAAATGCATTTATTTGTCATTTAGCATGCAATGTTTAGGCAGGGAAAAAACTTCCTATGATTCCCAGCATTTCCCAGCCAGTCATGGTGGAAGTTACCTGGTACATATCCAGGAGGAGGTGGGCCTTTGAATCTTGCTATGATTATCGCCCCTCTTACTGCAATCTCTTTTCTCTGCAAACAGGAATGACAGCCTTAGCAGTTGCTCCCATTCGACAGACGGGAACTGGGAACTTGAGGCTCAGAGTGCACCAATGAACTGATATTTGAGGCCAGACGAACACTCTAGTCACTTAATCACGGAGATGATCACAACAAAGCATCTCACTCCAAATAATAACAAATTTAACAAATAATAATAACCCCCCTCCCTCTCTGCCCTCGACTTGCAAACTTGCTGCGTCGTCTGCAACGAGTGCATTCCCGGGTCCACCAGTAGGCGGCAGAAAGCAGCATCCCATTTTCCCCAGTAGTGGAACAAACCCTGCCCAATGGAGCTATTTTCCCCCTCCCTCTTTGCGTGCGTGTATCTCTCCTTCTTCTTCTTCTCATCCCAATCTGCCTTCCCGAGACCCCCGAGAACTCCTCCCGCTGCACCTGAAAGAGGCTTCTATTGACAAACTTGGCAGAAGCGAGGTGAGCGCTAGGCGGGGCTCCTCTGGACGAGGTCTCCGGATCACTGGCAGGAGGAAGCGGGGGGGGGGGGGGGGGGGGGGGGGGGGGGGAGAGAGAGAGAGAGAGAGACAGAAGAGAATTGGCTGGCTCGGTTGATAAGCAAGCTGTGAGAGCACCGATCCCCCCTCCCCACGCCGCCGCCGCTCTCCGTCCTTCCCGGATCCACACCCCCTTGAGCTGCAAAAAGCTTTTGCTGGAATTGCTCTCCGCTGCATGACAGCCACCCCAGAATTCAGCCGAGCAGCCTGGAGCGGCCGCCTGAGCTCGGCTCTGGCTCTGAGGAAGGCTGCGCAGCGTGGATCGGTGGGGAACGCGGGGTGGAGGGTGGGGGGTGAGAGGAGGCACCTTGCCCTGGCGGATTTCTCAGGGCTCTTCTTCCTCGCTCTCTGTCTCTCTGTCTCTCTCTGTCTCTCTCTCCTTTTTTGAACCCCACCCCTGACCTTATTATCTGCCTGCCCAAGATTAAGCGCAAAGACAGTAGTCCAGAGAGAAAATAGCATGGGATCAAGGCGACACCTGCAGATGAATTAGACCGGAGGGAGGAAAAGACGTATAATTCTTTAGGGAAGATTCTGCTTCCCCCCCTGCCTCCACCTCGCGCCTTAAAAAGCAGGGAAGAAAGAATAAGACCCGCTCCAAAGGAAAAGAGCGGGAGAGGACCACGCAAGGAATCGGGGGGAATTTAAAGGACCGTTTCCCTCCCTTTGTTGAATGAGAACAGCGCCGGATCACCATGAGCACCAGCAGTAAGTACGGCTTTGCCTTTGCTTTCCTATAGGAGGAGGAATAGCGGCTTCTTTTGCATTGAGTCTGTTGATAAGAATGTCACAGCAGGATGTGAATGTCCAGCAGCAATTTCTGGACTCAGGGCCCCTGTTCTTTCTCAAGGTCTTTTCTTTCTTTTGAACATAGTGGCGTGTTGTCTGCTGACACCTCTGCCCCTTCCACATCTATATTTTTGGGCAATTGTGGCCAATTTAGAATGCAATGCTCTGTGCAGTCACACGCACGCCCCCAACTACTTCGGTGTGTTGTATTTGCACTCTTGTCTTTAACCGGTGCCCCCCCTCCCCCGATGGTGTGAGCAGACATCAGCACCATACTGTCAGTGGGTGTCCCAGGGCAGAGTTGAATTGGGAGGTGGATCCTATTGCAGAGTTTATGTGTATGTGTTGACACCTACCAACCCGTATTCTACCTTTATTCAAGGTAAGGGTCACTACTAAACATTGGTGTATGTTGGGACAATTTTAAACATCAAGAGAGAGAGCCCAGCCCAGACACCATGTCTGGATTTCTAAACAAGTGGAAACTGGCTAAGAAAAACGCTGTGTAAGATCAGATGAAGATGCCCTGTTTGTGGGACTCAGGACAAATAAAGAACAGATCTCTTGGAGTTGTCAAGTTGTTGCTCAGTTTTCTCATTGTGTCATTTGATTATAAGTGTACATGTTACTGTCGCCGTTCCCCCCGCCCCTGCTTCGTCTATTTCATTGGTGTTGCTTCCACCCCTTCATTAACACGAAGCCAAGCCATCTTTGCAGCCTACCTACCATGCAATTATGGACAGGTCCAAAGCTTATTGGTGAAGAACATGCCTCATGTGCATGAGGTTTCAGGGTGCATCTCCAGGAGCTGGTGAGGAAGAGGCACTGCTGGGCTGGAGCGCGACCTTTTGCTGGGGCCCCAGATTGTCACCTGTCTTCTGTCCAAGTAGATAATACTAAGCCTGAGGAGTCGGTAGTCTGACGGTGTGATGCAGGTTCATCTGTTCATAACAATCTGTTTTGTGTGTGGCACTTTATTTGATGTTGGTCTCCTTGGGATTTGACTTTGAACCATGGATGTTACCTCCATGGACAGGGATTCCCACTGAAAAGGCACCAGCCAATTAATGTCCATGTCTCTCTCCTAGGGTCCCTCCCTCTTTTGCTTTGTGAACTCTCTGTCTTGTTAATCCTGGGTTTCTACAGACAAGCAGGTAGTGCTGGTGCAGTTCCAAAACGGATTATGAAGGAAGCATTCCCTGGCAGCAAATCTCAGCCCAGAGAACAGGTGCTTCTAGATTTCACAAACCATGTCACTGGCAAGACAGTTTCCAGGTGCCTTCTGCATGAGCTGTACCTGGCTGATAGCCACGTGCTGCCTCCAGGACTGTGTACCTGTTGCTGGGGCACTTGGGTGGGAGGGTGCTGTTGCACTCATATCCTTCTTCTGGGCTTCCTGTGGGCAGCTGGTTGGCCACGGAGTGAACAGCATGCTGGACTAGATGGTCTGATCCAGCACAGCTCTTCTGATGTTCCTCTTCTGATATAGTATAGTATAGTATAGTATAGTATAGTATAGTATAGTAGACCTGGACATCAAGTCCTCCACCAACTAAACAATGCAAGGTAACAAAGAAAACCTACCACAGCCACCTGGGTGTTGTATTCAGGAACTGGTAGATAAATAGCCTTATGGAGACTGAACTGAATTTTCTGCCTGGCTTCACACATCTTCAGAGGACACAAAAGTGAAGGAAGAACAGAGAAAGGTACCTCTTGGTGGAAACAGGCACTTGGCGGAATGGCAACTGTTTTGTGGTCCTTTCTTTCTCCAGAGCTGAATATCCAACTTGGGCACTGATAATTAGTCTGTTTGCAGGACCAGAGCTTCCTAAATCCATTATGGTGCCATTAAGTACTCACCACAAAATGCATGTGCAACATATTTGTTTGCCATGGTCGTCCCGAACCTCTCCAGGGTAACTGATGCACTTGCGCTCTGCAGCAGTAGTATGGCGCTACGGAAGGAAGGAAGGAAGGAAGGAAGGAAGGAAGGAAGGAAGGAAGGAAGGAAGGAGCATGGCCTATTCCCCACAGCCTAGCCTTTTACTTTACTCCAGTGCATATTCCTAAATTTGCCAGTGTCTGCTTAAGCCAGTGTGGAGTTGGTTAAGATTGGATGAGTCAGTCTGTCACACCACATTTGAGTGCCTTTGTCTTCCCCTCTGTGCCATGGCACTGAGATACTGAATGACACGCTCTCCTCCCTTCGCAAAGCGCTTTGTGCTCTTCCTGCAGGTTACAATGAATTATTTCTTATTAACATTCAAGGAAGTCCGGAAAGCAATAATCATCCTATTGAGATTCAGGAATCCAGAAACAAAAATTCAGAACCTTTGGACTGGCCAGAACAAATAAAAAAGTATGTGCCCGCCTCTCTGTTGTTGTGATATGCCTCTTTCCATACCATGTGATAATTTATTATGCTACTAGCACAATACTGCTCATTCTGATGGACTGGATATGCATGAGGGGAGGGCAAGAAACTTTGGGGAATTGCAGCCTTCTGCAAAGTCCTTACCAATGCAGGCTGCCCTCCTATTGTCAGGGGTGGAAGAGACGTAATTTTCACTCTTCCTGCAATAGAATTGACAGGTGCTGTGATGTACTTGCCCCGATTAGGTTGAATGACAGCCTTTCCCTCCTATGGGAGAAATCAAAGTGCGCCCCTGTCCCCAGGGATATCACTGGGGTAACATTTAACCCCTTGCCTGCCCCTGCTAGCTCCAACCATTGAGCATCATACCTGCTTCTGTCTGCAGAGCCCCATCCCAGGTTTGCTTTGTTTGGTTTTGTTGTCTTTCATGTCACTCGAAAGTGTGACATTAGCCTGCAACAAGAACCTGGAAATTGCTGTAAGTACAAATTACAGGCCTAGCATTAAGTATTGCTTTACAACAGGTTGGAGCTTATGGATCTTGCCCATCTAAAGGTAGGAGTGTAGGATGCACAGGAAGTGCAAGATGGACACCACCTTGTAGGGGCTGATATTTAGCAATTCTTGCAAGCTGCACATTTCTAAGCACATCTACTTCCTAAGAAGTCCTGCTGGTTCTGAGGGACATCCTTTTGAGTAAACATGTTTAGAATTACACTGCATGCCATATTCAGTCCCCTGTGCTCTAGAGTAGAATATTAAGCTAATGCTCTTAGTGGCTTCCATCCCACTCTATTCTAATTCCCCAGCTTACAAATTCTTCCGTATTTTATTTCTTCTGACAAAGATAATGAGGAAGGCTTTCACTGGCAGGAACTTGGTGCCACTCATAATAGGAAATCTCAGTGCTGTCATCAGCTTTGTTCTCTTCCTCCTCTCAAAGAGACGCTGTTCTGTTTCCAGCAGGGTTGGACAATATATGCATAAAAGGCATTAGCAAACTCAGCCCAAACAAGAGGCTTTTGATGGGCGGCCTCCCAGAAAAATGGGGGCATGGGTTCAGGGAGGTTGTCCTCAAACTATTTTATGTTTCTATGAGAAAGGGAGGTGTCTACTGTGGTGCTGGTGCTGGTGGTGGTGCTGATGGTGGAGGAGGAGGAGGAGGGAGTTGTTCTTAGAGTCTCAGAAAGCCAGATATGAAACTCTGTAGGTTTATGGTTTTCAGGACTCGCTCTGTGTTGCAACCTGGGATTTTCCTCCCTTAGCACATTGAAGGCAACAGACCATTCATTTGCAAAATGCTGTTTATTCACCAAAGTAGGCATGTCATGAGTGGAGCCGGCTGGAGCCAGGGGTCAGATTAGATGGCCCAGGAGACCCCTTCTGACTCATTCTGTTTCTATGTTTCTGTTTTTCTTCACCTTCAAACTGGGCTGCTGGATCCAACATGGATAAGCACCTGTGGAAGAGGTTCCTTCTGTGTTCAGCTGCTCTCTTGCTGGAACAGCATCACTGAATCCCAACTTTCTATCATTTTCCCTCCCCAGAATGTCATCTGGGGCCTGCTAGAGTCAGTGAGAAGACAGTTACACTTCAGTCAACCAACAGCAATGTCAAGTACTCAAAATCTGACCATGGGAATGGAAACAATGCCTTATATATTGACTGAGCAGGGATAATCCAGACCAGGAAAAGAGAGGAGAGCACTTGCATATAATGACATTAAGAATCTAGTAGACAACGGCAGGACTTAATCTTAGGAGACCTGAATTTAGTTCCCTGCTCAGTTTTGGGTTGATATGATCAGGTTACAATGCATCAGCCACAGCTCTCCATCTTTAAAAATGATGTATTTACATCCAGCTTCACTGGTTTGCTGTTGTGATTATTAATCAGATAAAAATCACAAAGCATCTCTGCAAACTAAAATGACTATTGACCCACTGGAACATAAATGTTACTGTATTCCTCGTGCTTTCCAGCAGCCACACAAGGCATAGTGGGCAGGGATTTCAGCTGATGTAAATCAGCACAACACCCCATTGACTTTCATGGAATTATGCCAGTTTATAGCAGCTGAGTATGCCTCATAGATTCCTTTAAGCCTCTTATTTTTATGCCTCATGTTACACTAATATCGGTATTCCATCCAGAACAAGTAAGGGAAGGGGAGCAGCTGCTTTTGACCTAAGTGCATCCTATGGGGCAAGTTATACCATTGCCGTAGTGCCCATCCCAGCGCAATGCCAATAGATTAAGGTGGAGCCATGGGTTCTCCAGGGAAACATGTCCCTCCCGCATACACTGTTGGTGCCACCCCAGAGGTCCCCCATGCTAGCTGTATCTCAATGGCACAAGTGCAGTGGTGGCAGGAATGCTACTCGTGGCATCAACCAACACCCCTGCCCATGAAACGACCACCATGCGGCTCCCCTGCCTGCTGTCTCTCACGGGGCTTCACACTCTGCCGTGTGGTTTTCTGCAAGCTGTTGCAGACCACAGGCAGGTCTGGACACAATATGAAAGGCAGGGCAAGGTCATT